GTTGTGGCCTCTCCCGTTGCGGAGCACAGGCTCCGGACGCGCAGGCTCAGTGGCCATGGCTCACAGAACCAGCCGCTCCGCAGCATGTGGGTTCTTCCTGGACCGGGGCACGAACCCGTGTCCCCTGCATTGGCAGGCGGACTCTCAACCACTGTGCCACCAGGGAAGCCCCCCATAGTCTTTCATTCACACTTTTGTTATAGCTTCTGTGACGTTACGCTACATTGGATTATAATTTTTAAAAATTTGTCCTTTCTGCTAAACTGTTAGTTTTTGGAGAGCAAGGGTAGTATTTTATCCATCTGTGTATTCTCAGTATCTGGGGAAGTTCCCAGAACTTAGTAGGTACCTAGTAAAAATGCCCAGAGCTTGGGAGGTATCCACAGCTGCTTCCCCCAAGGGGCTGAAAGTTTAGTGACTGGCTCACACATTTAGCCTAGTGGCCCTATCATAAATCAGACATGCCCATCCTCACCTCTTTTCCTAAAGAAATGTATAGGCCACTTTCCTAGTTAGATAATTAAATGGAGATAGTTTCTTAACTTTGCTTTTTTAAAATCACTATACTTAACTTTCTAATAATATCAATCACTTATCTATAAATAGTGATCTTTATTTTGTGTACTGATTTCCTTAAGGGCTCCCAGACTCTAGTATTTTTCAAAATGACACGTTGAATACAGTTTCTTTTGTAATATCCAGTGACATGACTGATCACAGTAGCTCTGCAGAACAGAAAGCAAATCAAATGTACTCCTATTGATGTGATAGTAGATATCTGGGTAATTGGAGTATTTCTAAGAGTTAAACTAAACTGGAAAAGTTAACCTACCTGCTTATCCTCTACCCAATTCCTAAAGAAGTGACTCAGATTTAATTTAATATCTGGTGTCTTATTTTTCGAAGAGAAAATTGTGCTTTAATTGAGGTTAATTGCAGTTTCTTGGCAGAATTAATGTTCAGCTGAGGTGAAAGTGACAGTAGGTTTTATAATTTTAGAAACATCAAATGGTAAACTTGGATGAAAGGAAAAGCTTTCTTGTATAGAACCATTAAAAAGAACATAAAAATGTATTTTGAAGGTCTGTTTTGGATACTTTAATATATAAACTTATAATTTTTTCCACATTTAAAAAAATTTATTTATTTACTTATTTTTGGCTGCGTTGGGTCTTCATTGCTGCGCGCGGGCTTTTTCTAGTTGGGGCGAGCAGGGGCTACTCTTCGTTGCAGTGCACGGGCTTCTCATTGCTTTGGCTTCTCTTGTTGTGGAGCACAGGCTCTAGACGCACGGACTTCGGTAGTTGTGGCGTGCGAGCGTGTCCCCTGCATTGGCAGGTGGATTCTTAACCACTGCGCCACCAGGGAAGCCCTCCACATCTCTGAAGGTTAGGAAAATCAGTATCTAATGAACCCCTTTACTAGGGCTTGGGCTCCATTGTTGTGGCAGTTTCCTGACTAATATGCATTGTAGGTGACAAATTAAGGGCCCATTTTATTTTTATTGTAAATGTTCCTGGGCCAAGGGCCACTGGGGCCAATTCTGAGCTTGCTCCCTGACTGTTTTGGTTCTGACCTTTATTTCCACTCTTTCACAGAAAGTGACAATATAATGTCATAGGTACAGATCTCTTTGTTAATATTCCAGAGCCCTGACACCAATTTCTCATTCTGAAGCTAGTTAATTGTTCTGTAGTATAATGGAGGAGATATAAGGTGAGGCTAATTAAGTACAAAAAATTATGGAGCCTGCTGGAATTCAAATGGTGGTTCCATCTCTTATTAGCTCTGTGACCTTGGACAAGTTACTTATCTATAAAATGGGGATGATTATAGTATATTATGCTTTCTCATATAGCATTTTTGTGGATTATATGAATACTTATACACAGGCATCCTAGAATAGTATGTGGCACAAAATAAGTTACTTTGTAACTATTAATTTTATTAGTATTGTTACTAAGCATAGAGTCCCCACAGTGGATACTCAGGGCACAGGGCTGATGGTGGGAGCTAAAATCACCTAACTATGGAATTAGGTACAGGTTGTTTGCTTTTGCAGAAGAAAATGGCAAACCGGGAAGGGAGACCAATGCTACTAGATCTGAGTTTGGAACTGTAGAAACAAGAGAGTAACAGATGTTGTGACTCTAGTCTTGAGATCAGTTGTGTTTCATTTAAACTGCAGACTGGCAGAAAAAGGTCTGGTTAATAAGTATAGGGCTTTGCAAAGAGTCAAATGCTTCTGTACTACATATACTGACTCACTTAACAGGGAATCACTTTCAGTGACTTGTATAACTGAGAAGGTTTCACCTCGACGTTGGCACATAAATTGAGAAATTAGGACATGATTTAAAAATACAACAAATGAAACGTGTACAGTATCCAACCCACCCTGCAATAACATTTGATCTTCCCTGTTATATTTTGTAGTTTGATGCTATGTAATCTATCAGAATCTTATTAATCCCACTTACACAGGCAGCCATCTGGACCTTCCTTAAGCAAGACCAGACCAGTATACAACTAAAGTGATTGATGGACTCTGGAATTGATTAGTTGTTCTGTGAGACAAATGAACTCTTTTGGCAGAAAATACCAGAGGTCACTGCTGTGGTCAGACAGAAGAGCCTGTAGAATTTTAAAGAGATGCTTTCATCATTGACTTACAAAGTTAAAATTTTTAAACCATAATAGATTTTGAAAATATTTTAGAAATATTTTTTCACTGGTTGCTCTCTAGTCCTGATTATAAAATGGTAAACTGTAAGTATAATAAACTAGAATGAAAGTGATAATTTGATGCTTTAATTTTGTATTTTTGGTGAAAATATGAACTGAAATAAAAGTAGCATAAAAGCCAGTCACTTACACATAAATTGTACTCTAAAATCTTCCTGAAAGAGATGTGATTGGAAAAAAAGCTACAACATAGCTTTGGTTTACATGGTTTAATGTGACTAATAGAATCAAATAGTATAAAATTCCATTTAGTTATTTATTCAAAGCTTCACATTGTTAACAACCTGTTTTTAACAAATCTATTTAAGACTCTGAAACACCAAGAGTATGTATTACACATACTTTGTATTTAAAAAGTTGAGTATTTGGATTTTT